ACACACACACATATGTGTATATGTATATAGCGTTCAGTGTTGTTATGTCACTGTTTCAATGTTAGCACTACACGGCTAGCTACTGCTAACTGTCTCTTCCTCAGTAACACTGACGGTGAGCTCAGGTTGACCCCGTCCTCTGAGACAAGGTGGCGTCCATGTTGACCTGTGACAGTCTGACAGAAAGCGTCACATGACCTTGTAAACGTCGAACGTCCTGGAATTTATGAGTTAATCAATAATCATCATCAGTTAATCATCACAGCTTTCTAATAATTCAGATTGTGATCAGAGAGTGTGACGGCTCAGTCATTACACACACACACAGATATACACAGTGTGTGTGTGTGTGTCGATATGCTGCATCTGAGGGGGGAGGGGGAGGGGGGAGTCACGATGGTGGATTTCTTGCAGGAGGCGGAGCTCTGTGTCAGCACGATGAGACGCGACCATATAAGGACAGAGAGGGAGGAAGTGGGGATTTCTCTCCGGAGTCATGTGACTTCCAGTTAGAGCGATGCTCTCACACACACACACACACACACTCAGTTATATTGAACATGTTTTCTCTTCTTATTTTTCTGTTTATTGTTCTGCACCAACGTTCTGATGAAACCTTCAAATAATCTGATTCTATTCAGTCTGTTTAATGTTAGATAATGGAGGAAATTGTTTTAATCTTTACTTTAGTGGGCTCTTATGAAAGGGTCTGTCTGTCTGTCTGTCTGTCTTGTCTGTCTGTCTGTTGTACCTGGAGGATTTCTGTTGCTGTGCTGAGTTTTGACTGAAACTGAAACTGTCTCGTGTTTTCCTCCTTTTGTTTTTTCCCGCCGTTGCCTGGGAAACGAAAGGACGAGGGGACAGATGAGCATGTGGACGCAGCGAGGCGGCGTCCTCTCTCAGCTACCTGTTGACAAATAACACATTTTGGTAGTTTTTCATTCAGAGATATAAACAGCCTCTATATGGAACATGAAATATAATATTCACTGTTTTCTATTTCATAAGTGACAGAACACTGAAAAATAAAAGCCTGAGCCAGAATCAAATCGCTGCCCTGTCTGTCTCTGTCTGTCTGTCTGTCAGTGTGAACGCTCCCTGACGGTGGTTCAACCTCTCACACAGAACTGCTGCAGTCCTGCAAACAGAAATACCAGGAAGAGTCAGGAGACCAATCAGAAGTGAGTTTAACCTCTGCAGTGTTCCTAGAAAGTGTTCCTGCAGGCGCTCTCTGTTCCTGCAGAGCTTCAGCTGAACTCACTTCCACTCCCCATCACAGTTACAGATTAATATCACAGTTTCACTCTGAGTGAGCCTGAAGGTCACAGCAGACGTTAGCAGAAGGATTTCACATTTTAAAGTTTCTCTTTAATGAAACTTCCCACTCAATCACTGAAGATGATTCATTATCTCCACTTTCTTTAAACGTGATCTTTGTCAAATTATAGTTTCAATTACGAGCAGCTTCCAAATTTTACAAAGATTTGATTCATCACAGTTGAATTGTTGGAAACACTAACAGAGACAGGAGGAGTGGAGGTTTTGATTCTGTTTTCCCTGGTTCCGACTTGTAATGAAAGTTACGATGATCTGAAGGTAAAATGAGTGTTTGCTGTCTCTGGGAGTCTGGTTGGAGAGTGATAGTGGATATACGGCCTGTTTGTGGTTAAAACTAAAGGTCTATCTCTGTAGTCCTTCATAATTGCTGTTTCAGACACTGACAATAACAACCTGAGTCTGTCAGTGATCAGCTAACATGAGCTAACATTACACAGCAGCCTGTGTGTAACTGTTTCACTATCAGCCTCAAACATGCTGCACGACTCCAGAACTGCCTCCTCCTCCTCCTCCTCCTTTCTTTCCTTCCTTCTCCTCTTCCTCTCCTCTGTTGTGTAGGTGAGTGATAATAATCCTCAGTAGAAGCTTCCAGCAGGAGTGTGAGTGTGTGTGTGTGTGAGTGTGTGACTGTGTGTGTTATCCTCCCACTCTCTCTCTCTCTCCACTCGTCTCCTCTTCCTCTCTGTTCATTTCAAGTGTTTTTCTGCAGAAGCATAATTAACAGCTGAGTATGTGTGTGTGTGTGTGTGTGTGTGTGTGGTGTGTATGTGTTTGTGTGTGTGTGTGTGTGAGCCAGAAGATCCATATTTGGGCAGAGGGGTGGGGCTAAAAAGAGCTGAGGTGGTAAAAATGAGCAGAAACCATCCTGGCAGCAGTTTATTACTAACTACTATTACTATTATCTGTGTTTCCTCTGCACTCCAATAACAGTGGAGCAAAAGATAAAAGAGACATACACAGTATATATGTATATGTATATATATATATACATATATATATATATATATATAATCACATCTTAAATTAGCTAATGCTGGCAAACTAATTAAGCAGTTGGGCGTCCAGCTGAAGGACTCTCCCAGAACAACAAACACACCAGAGTGGTTTTCATTTACAGTTACTGCTGATGGACCCAGACTAATCACATTCAGATCGTTTGTCTGCCTCGCTGTCTGAACGCTCCCAGAGTGATCGGCTCACTTCCTGCTTTACCGCACGTTCACCGTCCTGTTACTCTTCATTTTATTGGTAACTTCGATGATTTTGATCTGAAAAGATAAGATTAGATTCTGTAAAATAAATTCTTTCTCTCCTCTTGTCGTCTCT